AATTATATGCCATCTTTCTCCAGATATTGTACAATCCTTACTTTAAAAAAATGTAGAATCAGTGATAGATTAAATAACTTAGTGCTTTCATCCATAAGGTATCATGTAAAGGACATTACTAAAACTTTCAAGAACCTCAAGCAATTGCCTCTGGAATAATTTGAAAGAACCAAAAAAACCCAAACCGCTAATCAAATTAAACTCACATCATCACCCCAGAAAAGGGATTTTTCAACTTGAAGCATCTCAAACATTAACTCAGTCTTGAGGGAGAAGCAGAAGGAAGAGAAAGAAGTCAATTCAACCTTCAAGTTTATTGTTAGGCATCATCAAGTCAATTATGATTCCTAATGACCCTAGAAAAAGTCTGAAACCTTGCCCTATCAATCTCTGGAACCTGCAAGTCACCAGTAAAAACCACCTAAGACATTAACTGCTTATGCTTCCTTCTACCATCCTCCATGTCTCAGGGTTCTGCCCTAAGCTTTTCAGTTTTCCAACCATAAAGGCTGCAACGTTCTCAAAGTTCTCAATGTTGCTATTATGTACTATCAAGTTGCATGTGACTCATATCAACGTTATATACAACAGCTTTGAACCTTGTGCTATCTTGAGCCAACCTCATTGTCTCTGACACACCCACTCCATTACCCTAGTCACTGAGTTAATCCATCTCATCCAGAGTGTCCCTCCACCCTTCCACGCATGCTGTTCTTCTCCAAGGACTGGTCTCTCCTTCCAACATGCCCAAAATATGTCAGATGGAGTTTCAGAATCCTTGCCTCCAAGGAGCAGCCTGGTTTCATCTTCTCCAGGACAGGCAGGCCTGTTAGTTCTCTTAGCAGTCCATGGTATATTCAATTTTCTTCTTCAGCACCACAACTCAAAGTCATCAATTCTCTTTTTATCATCCTTAGCCATTGTCCAGCTTTCTGATGCAAAGCCAGTAACCTGGATCAGGGGCACCCTAGTCTCCAGAATGACATCATTGCTCTTCAGTACTATAGAGAGTTCTCTGACCGCAGATTTTATTTCCTAGCTGAAAGGGTGTTGATTGTGGAACCAAGCAAATTGAAACGGTTAACAATCTCAACCTCTTCACCATCTATCATGATGTTGCCAATCAGCCCAGTGGTGAGAATCTTTGTTTTCTTGATATTGTGCTTCAATCCCTATTGAAGACTGCAGTCCTTGACCTTCTGCTATAAATGCCTCAGGTCCTCCTGAGTTTTGGCAAGCGAGGTTATGTCATCTACATAACTCAAATTGTTGATGAGTCTTCCTGCAATCTTGATGCCACATTCCTCCTCATAGAGCCCAGCCTCCGGGATGATCTATTCCACATTCAGGACCACTACCTAAAGATAACTTAAGCTCATCTAGTATTTTATATTCCCTGTAGGCTTAGCAACTCCCCACTATGCATTTCTTGCTCTCATCTGGGGTCTAGATCAGTGTTTCCAGCTACCAAATGAGCTCTATATATGTCCAAGACACACCTAAACTGCTCAAAGTGAACAAAACATGGCTTATCATCTTTCAATTCTTAGTCCTTAAACTTCCAGAAGGTACTTACTCAATTTCTTCTCTCAGTATTATAGTCATCCAAGCTAGAAATCTTAGGCTTATATTAGTGTTTTCCTCAAAATCAAAGTCAATCTTCATTTAGTCCAACAGCTCTGCCATCATAATTTCTTTTCAATTGTTGCAGCACTTTTGGTCCATTGTCAATGTTATGCACTAATTTACTATGTACCTGCATCACTGCAAATTTCTGCTGCATTAGATCTCTCTGCTGCCAGGATCTCCACCCACCTCCAGATCAATTCCTTACAAAGTAAGTAAACATTTCCAGAGTTTCTACTGCTAAAATAAAATCATTTTTTTTAAAAAAATCATTGTTTCCCTCTGGACCAATTAAATAAACCAAAACTATTAGGCATAGTATTGAAAATTTACCACAACCCTGACCAAAACACTTTTCTGTTTCACTGCCACGTGTTCATAAACTCAAATCTTAACACAGTAAAATTTTTAAACATTATTTCCTCATGTCTTCATACTTCTTTCTGATCACACAATTCCTTCTGCCTGAAATGTTTCCTCCCACTCCAACCATAGATCTTCCTGTGACAAAAATAAGCTTGGATGCTATACTGCTAAATATGTGGAGAGGGTAGCAAGAACAGACAAAAAAACCCAAAATGCACAACACCCAAATGTAAAATATTAACTGTCCATTATAACTTAACCCTTTGTATTCAAATAGAAATATAATGGCACAAATCTCTGTAGCAGAAAAGATCACATTTATTTCCAATATTTTACCATATCAACTTTTAATAAGCTAATTTTATTATAAAAAAAAATCTACCTTTCTACTGGACTATTTCTCTCTCTCTCTCTCTCACACACACACACACAGCCACCCTCACTGTTGTAAGAGAACTGCCCCATAAGGTTTCTAAGCATATACATTTTTATGGAAATATAATACCCCATCTTTATCCTGTGGGGTAACTGGTGAGTTCAAACTACGAATCTTTTAGTTAGCAGCCAAGTACTTTAATCACCACAGCACTAGGGCTCTTCTGAAATCAGATACCTATAATCAACTAGATAACCTTAGGTAGCAAATAGCTGAACACGCCTAATAGCTGAAAAGGGAGCTCTGATGGCTCAGTGATAAGGAGTTGTGCTGCCAACCCAAAGGCAGGCAATCTGAATTCACCAGCTGCTCCATGGGAGAAGGATGTGCAAGCTCCTCCTGTGTAATTTACTGCTTCTGAAAATCCACTCGAAGGGCAACTATGACTCGGTTCTGACTCGAGATAGTACATTAGCTAAAAAGTTTATATGCTTTGAACCTACCTAGAGGCATCTTCAAAGACAGAGCCAGCAAGCTACTTCAGAAAGGTTACAGTCTTAAAAACACTAAGCAGTAAATTCTATTCTCTATGCAAAGGGTCATCATGAGTCAGAATTAACTCAATGGCAACTAACATTCATAAAGACCTTTTGAACAACAGATCTAAACTTGGTCCTATTTTGTACCATCTGCACCATCTCCAATATACCTGAGTCCACAGTTACAGTTCGAGTGTCAATCCATCTTGCTGAGAATCTTTAATAAATAAAGTCTCACAGCTCTGCAAAACTTGTGTGACCCTATGATTACTAATTCTACAATAATGGTATTATACAGTATTTTTCCTTATGGAACTGAGTTAGTTCATTCAGCACAATGCTCCCCAGTCACTCCCAAGTTAGGCAGTAATTTACAGAATTATTGCTTCTGCATGCTACATAGTATTTCACTGTGTAATGTACCATAATTTCTCAATCCATTCCACTGTGGCTAGACATCTGGGCTGTTTCCATGTTCTTGCAATGGTGAATAACGCTGCTAGGAACACTGGTATACAAGTCTCTGTGCCTCAGTTCTGATTCTCTCAAAGTATATTCCAAGTAGTAGAAGAGCTGGGTCATATGGAATTTCTATGTTCAGGTTTTTGAGGAAGCATCAAACTGCCTTCCAGAATCTTCAACATTTTACAATCCTACCAACAATGTAAAAGAGTTCTTATCTCACCACATCCTCTCCAACATTTATTACTTGTTGCACTGCTAAACTTTGTCATTGCTACTGGGGTAAATGACAGTCCCTTTTGTGAAGTCATTAAAGGTCCTCTCATGACCCTTGTTTTTATATCCCAGTAGCAGCAGTGAAGTTTAGTAAGATAGCAAGCAATACATGTTGAAGAGGATGTGGGGAGATTCAAACTCTCATGCCCTACTGGTGGGACTGTAAAATGGTACAACCAGATGAGCTCTGGTGGCCTAGTGGCAAGAATGTGTACTGCAATCCCAGAGGTTGTCTTTATTGTTATGTGCCGTCGAGTCATTTGTGACTCATAAGGACCCTATGTACAACAGCCCTAAACCCTGCTCTATCCTGTGCCAATCTCATTGCCTCTGACACACCCATCCCGATTACCCCAGTCACTGAATCAATCCACCTCATAGAGGGTCTTCCCCTCCTGCGCTGTCCCTCTACTCTACCCAGCATGATGTCCCTCTCTAAAGACCTGTCTCCACCAGATGCTTTGCTGGAGAAGGAGGAACAATCTCCTCCTATACCAGTCAGATCTGATTTGACGGTACACACACACAAAATAATAAAAAACTTAAAAAAAAAAAAAAAGGTACAACCATTCTATGGGAAGGCAGTTTGGCATTTCCTGAAAAAGCTGAACACAGAAATCTCATATGACACAACTACTGCACTATTAGGAATATATGCCAAGGAAATTAGAAATGAAACATGAAAAGAGATATGTACACCTATGTTCACATCAACGTTATTCACAATAGCAGAATATGGAACCAACCCCAAATGTCCATTTTCTCACTTTCAGAAGGGTACATTGGGGGTCCTTGGTGATACATGGGTTAAAGCGCTCCACTTTCAAGCATAAGCTCAGTGGTTCCAACCTACCAGCAACTCTGTGACAAAGATGTAGCAATTGTGTCCACAAAGATTTACAGTCTTAGCAACTTTGTGGGGCAGTTCTAGACTACTTCATTCTAGAATCACTATGAGTTGGAACTGAATCAATGGTGGTGGTTCTCAGTTTACAAATGCTATGCCAAAGGAGTGCTGGTGTCTCAGTCTACAGGGAGTTGCCTGCTAACACAAAGGCAGTGTGCCTCTATGGCAATGAGAATCCACTAGCAACTCCTTGAGAGAAAGATGGCAATCTCCTATGTGGTGATTTACAGTCTCCTGAAAACTCAATTATTTCTTATTATTTATTCCTACACGATGGCAATGAGTGGGGTTTTTCTGATTTTATGCCAAACTGCATCATGTAATCACAAAATAATCAATAAAAATCCTTTTGAAAATGAAACAAACAATACACAAGATGTTTTAAACTAAAATTGGGGATAGTAGGTAGTTATTTTCAAATCTATAATAAACGAATTTTAAAGGATACTGATCTGTCTGTGGTCTCCGAAAGTTCTCTGGAAGATTAGCTTCATAGAGTAGTCGTGCTTTAGTATTTCCCATATCTTGCATGCACTGTAATTAAAAAAAAAGTTTTCATTACTCATATACATACTAACAGATAATAACTATACATAAATGCATATAGAGAGATATATAAACTAAAGTGTGTCTGATCCAGGCCATCGTCTTCACAATTACATGCTATGCATCAGAAATCTGGACAATGACTAGGAATGACAGAAGGAGAAGTGATGCCTTTGGGCTGTCGTGCTGGACAAGAGTATTAAATATACCATGGAATGCTAAGAGAACAAACTCTTACTCTGGAGAGGGTGAAACCAGGCAGCTCTTTGGAGGCAAGAATTCTGAAGCTCCGTCTGACATACTCTGGGTATGCTGCAAAGAGCAACCAGTCCTTGGAGAGGGACATTATGCTTTGGAGGGTGGAGGGACAGTGAAACAGGAAAAGACTCTCAATGAGATGGAGTGATTCAGTGACTGGGGTAATGGAAGCGCACAGACAGTAGGTACAGAGCCATTAAGTTTGGCTCAGAATTAGAACAAGATTCTGAGTTATTGTACATAGGGTCGTTGTGAGTAGCAGGTGACTTGATGGCACATAACAACAAGAAGTAATAATTATTATATTTCTTCTTGAAAAAGTATACTTTTTGTATTATTTTTTTAAAAAATATACTTGGAAGAGGTGGTAAGGGAGAAAAGTGCAACAATGAATGAATGGAAATCCAAAATCTCTGTAAATGTTCATCAAAATTAATAAAATAAAATTTTAAAAAATGTATACTTGGGAAATTGTTTCATAACAGACATTAATTTCTCTGGAGCTAAAAATAGAAGCCAATCTTTAATTTTTAATAAGTGAAACCTCAAGTTTTTTATATTTTTTTAAAACAATACAATATTGATACTTAATCTTTTCTTAAATTATACTATGAGACTTTCTGTGGGCAGTTTAAGGGGAGCACTAGTCTATAGAGAATTGTGCTACTAACCCAATGGTGGCAGCTCTCTGATGGTTTAAATCTATCAATTGCTCCAGAGATGTACAACCTTCTCCTGCACAATTTACAATCGTGAAACCCACTGGAGAGTCAGCTATGAGTCAGTTTCAACTCAATGGCAATGAGTAAGAACTTAATATAATTTTAAATATAACACTTAAAAATGGTGTCTCTCTAACACTAAGAACTCAAAATCAAGCTTTTTGTGTCTTTAAGCTTCAAAATTTTCATATTTCTCATAATTTATAATGACGATCACATTGGAGACCCAATAATTCATGAATCCCAATAGTATGAACCACAGCCTGAACAGGTATACAATTTGATAATCATTTCAACCAGTTTAATTAAGTTTTAGTATCATTCTTCAGTAACAATTATAGCAAAATAGCATGTCCTACATAAACTATTACTTTAGAAACTAAATGTAAAATTTACAAACAAAACAACATGATATTTGAATGTACCATGGACTGCCAAGAAAACAAACAGATTCATCCTAGAAAGGGTTAAACCAGGCTACTCCTTGGAGGCAAGGATTCTGGGGCTTCGTCTGACATACTTTGGACATGTTGCAAGGAGAGACAGGTCTTTGGGGAGGGACATCATGCTGGGTAGAGTAGAAGGACAGTGCAGAAGGGGAAGACCCTCTATGAGGTGGATTGATTCAGTGTGGGGTAATCGGGATGGGTGTGTCAGAGGCAATGAGATTGGCACAGGATAGAGCAGGGTTTAGGGCTGTTGTACATAGGGTCCTTATGAGTCACAAACGACTTAATGGCACATAACAACAACAACAACATAAAGTTTACAAAATATGTTTTAACTGGTACAATAGAGGTATGGTGTGTTGATCATTTGTTTGTTTTTAAATATTTCCCAGACCTCTCTAAACAAAACAATCCAGGTTTAATAATTACATGTCTTCCTTGAGTTGTAGTCCAAGGGGACACAGAATAAGACTTTACTTTCAAATAAAAAAAGACATTGATTCTTCTCTCAACTGAGTTTTAAGATATGAATTAAGTCCAATGGTAATTCAATTTTGGATATCTTCAAGATTAAATGCTCTCTGAGTACAGATGTAAGTGTGTTAATTGCCTGGTGGACACAAGTATTTAACTGTATCACAGATGTAGGTATCAAGCAAAAAAGTCCAGGCATAGTTTTTCAGTTTCGAAAAGGTTACTGAAGTCAGCAGTAGAAGGCTCAATAAAGAGGAAAGGCAGAGTAATATGGAGAGGAGAGTTAAGCAAGAAGGGGAAGGCAATGGGAAATGGCATTTTGAGAAAATACAAACTAGTTATCCTCAAGATTTTAAGACACAGGTACTACAATGATGAAAATTTAGGCCTTGCAAAACAAACTCTGTCAAGGGAATAAAATAATGAAAACAGCATAATGCCAGTGACAGGCATTAACATATACTATCAGATACATATACTCATAGAGAGAGACAAAGAGTCCTAGAGATGCAGCTGTAAAGCAATCAAGGGGGGGTGAACGCGCACATACTGATTATCCCATGCAATGACAAAAGAAGAAACAATTTTGTCTTTGATGGAAATGCATGTTCGTTCCTTAGAGGCAAGAGGGTAAAACTTAATCTCATTTACTTTGGGCATATTCAAAGGGGAACCAGTCCTCAGGGAGGGACAATATGATGGGAAAGGTGGAGGGAGGGCGGGGGTGGGGGGAAGAAGGAGGGAGGAAGGGAGAGAGAGAGAGAAAGGGGTGGGGGGAGATGAACACATGGACCTTCATCAAGATGAACTGACACTGCGATTACCACAATGGGCTTGGGATGATACAAATTATGAGGATGGTGCAGGATAATACAAGCTCAGATCTGTTGTTCATAGGGTCACTGTAAGTCCTAGTTTAGTCAATGGCACCTAACAACACCTACATGTCAAAGTATGTGTTGAGGTATGTGGTTTTATATATTTAAATATATTTGAACATCAAAGATTCTGAGATAGGTTTTATTAACTAATCCTAAATGGATGTAAAATATAAAATTGCAGGCCCACAGTTCTCAGTCATTCAAAGAAGATTCAAGGGAGCTCTGGTGGCACAGTCCATAGGGGTTTTTGCTGCTAATCCAAATGCTGCACCTCCCTGGTGGTTCGAATCCACCAACAGTTTCTTGGGAAAAAGATGAGCAATCTTCTCCCATGTGATTTACAGCTTAGAAATCCACTGAAAGAAGGCCAGCGATGAGCCAGTTCTGACTTGAAGGAAGAGAAAGAGTATTCACTCTTTGATTGAACCAACTTCCAAAATTAAAAACTTAGTGTCAACAAGTCAATTCTGACATATAGCAATGCTGAAAGAACAGAGTAGAACCATCCCACAGGGCTTCCAAGACTGTAAATGCTTACAGAAACAAATTGCCACATTTTTCACCTACAGAGTGTCTGGTGGGTTCAAACTGTTGACTCTCTCACTAACAAAAGGGAGCTTTAATCACTGTGCCACCGAGAATTCTAAAATCAACTGCCAAAAAGAAACCCCAAAATCAAGCCCAATTCCTTCAAGTTGGTTTTGACTGGTGAGGACTCTCCACTGGGTTTCTGAGACTATAAAGCTAAAGGGAACAAATTGTCTTATCCTTCTTCTTTGGACTAGTAGATTTGAACTACAGACTTTTGGTCATCAGCCCAACGTATTAACCACTGTGCTGGCAGGACTTCTACTGCAGTCAAATCAAGAGTCAAACATCATTCACTAAAAGTAGAGACAATGTCCTCAGGGTTTACATGCACTAAGTTATTTGCTTGAGAGGGGCTCAGTGTTCTTTTTACAAATAAAAATACTGGGATAAGAAGAGGTTATACGACTTTTTTTTTTCCTGCTGAGTGAATCAATGCCAGGCTGACACCAGAACTCAGATCTATCACTCCTAATTCTTGCCACTACATACCAGCGACTCAGAAGAAGTATTCAAAAAATTTTATCACAGAAACGTGTTGCGTCCATCATTAAAGCATTTCATTATTAAAATATTATACCACTTCTTTTAAATTCTCTCTTCCAAAATCTTTTCTTAAAATGTACACTGAATGCCAGAAAGAAAATCTTTAGTTGCTTATTTTTTTTTTAAATTAAAATTTCATTTTCCAGAGCTGTGGTGAGCATACTGGTGGCAGAAGTAGGATGATGAATGGCATATACTTTCTTCAAAAGAATAAGAGGGGAGTAAAAATCAGTAGACAATAGACAGATTTAAGAAATTGTTATAACATGTCATTGAGTCAAGCATGACTCATACCAAACCTATGAATGACAAATCTGAACTCTTTCCGATCCTGTGCCATCTTCATCTCTGACACTCTTAAGACCACTGCTGCAGTCACTCTGTCAATTCATCTCTTTGAGGGTCTTCCTCTCTTTGATTATCTCTCCACTTTTCCAAGCATCAAGTCCCTCTCCAAGCAACAGCCTCTCCTAACAATATGTCCAAAGTATGTGAGACAAAGCTTCACCATCCTTGCCTCTAAGGAGCACTCTGGCTGCACCTTCTCCAACATGTATCTGTTTGTTCTTTTTGCAGCCATGGTATATTCAGTATTCTTTTCCAACACCACAACTCAAAGGTATTGCTTCTTCTGTAACCCTTATTCTTTGTCCAGCTCTCAGATGTACAAGTGATTAAAAAGATTATGGCTTAAATGAGGTAAAAACATAATAAAGGAATGATCAATACAATGTTACTAAAGAAAGGGAAGACAAAGAAAGATATACAATAATGACAAGTCATCTGCAATAAATAAGTAAACACTACTACATACACAATTATCTAGAGAAGAGCAGAAAATTATACATAAGGGCACAGGGCTAGAGCATCTTTCTGAAAGGCCCAGAGGGAGTGAGATAGCACAAACCCTCACCACCTCAGAGCAGAAAGCAGATAAAGAGCCAAAAGCCCAGCCCCATGGTGCCTCTAGAGCCACAGCAACAGCAAGAGGGACATTTATTTGTTATTGACTCAGACTCACAGCTGTGGTAAAGGGGTTTATTTGGGACGTAGGTTGGAGAGCAGAGGAG